GACCCCGCGTCTGAGTGGTGCCGGCGGTGGCGGGGTAGCCACCATGGATGCGTCGGCCGAACAATGGTCGCGCTCGGTTGACGAGATCGATCCGTTGACGCTGAATGCCAGCATGGACGATCTGGGAAACCTGTTTGAGTTCGGCGACATCGATCTGAACAACCTGCCAAACATAGATACCTCCGCGTCCTACGATGAGCATATGCAACACACGAACACTCATCCGAGCACACCGTTCAGCGAGCTCAATGAACCGCACACCCTTCCAGGTGGAAATGCGCAGGACTTTGCAGGACAACAGCGCTTCGGGCCCTCTGCAAGCGCGGAACAGGCGCAGCGACACCTGCAGTCGTCACAGTTTCCTTCGGACGTAGCATTCCAACAAACGATGCAGCAGCACGATTTCCATCCCAGCCAGTCCTTTCAGTTTCAAGCCATGCCCGGCTACTCCATGCATCAGCAAATACCCCCGACGCCTAACAGCTATGAGATGCACGGAGAACCAGGACGTTTCCTCCAGTCGCAATTAGACTCGCAGCAGCGTGCCTTGCTCGAGCAGAAATATCATCTCCGGAAAGAGGACGCGGTGCGTTCGCAGCTCGCCGAGAGGATTACGCGCAGACTGACTCTGAATCAGATCGCATTCACGCCTATGGTTTCTCCTGCAGGCACACCACAGTACAATGCCCAGCCTGAATTTACCATTCCGGGCGCCTATTTCTCCCCTTTGACCTCGCCGATGCTGCATGCACAGACTTCGCAGCAGGCTCAGTCACAGTCCCTGCAGCATGGCTACTATACCAATCCCAGCACCGCTCCCAGCTCCAACGCGACATCTCCATTGAATGCATCTGTAGATGTGGACATGCTGGCAGATGAGGCTGAGAGTACTGAAGCCCCAACCAGGAAGTCAACACGACGGAAAGTACCAACTCCACGAAGCGCAGGTCCACTTGCCCGAGTCAAACAAAGTCCTATTCAAAAAGCCATCAAGCGCAAATCTGGTACCATACTTTCGTCGTTGCCGCCCTCTCGTGAGGCGGATGTGAATCTCGAGGTGCAACGATCAAAAAGCACCCAGCCTACATCTACCGGCCTGTCAATACCGCGTAGCGACAGCTCCGCAACTGGCAGCATAAGCCCGGAACCACTCAGTGAGGCTCTGATGGGACCGCCACCACGGCCATCCTCCAGCCGGACGAATTCCCCTGCCATTCGAGCTCAGCATTCGAACGGAGTCGCAAACTCGATGGGGGCTGCCGCAACGCCCAAATCTTTGTTGTCGATGGGCCGCGGCGCAGCAACTCGTTCTGAACCCAAATCACACCAAACCGCGGGTGACGCCGAGTTGGAGGATCTCCAATTACCTGCTGCGGCAGATCAAAGCGTTGACGGACCGCCACAGACCCAAGTGACCACGGTTTCGAATGATGACACGCCGCGACTCTCAGCTCGCAAAACACCGAAACTCGGGCCTACGAGCACTCCTTCGTCTGCTAGACTTGCATCGGCGGCTCTGAGCCCAGCCATCGTCGGCTCTCCGATGACTGCTTCCACGCCCGGTGCCCTTTTGAAAGAGCGCAAAGAGTCAAAGTCAAGTAGAGGAGGCAAAAAGCGAGGCAGCATCAGTGGCGGCGGTTCGAATTTGGTGTCTCCCGCGTTGCGGCCCCGGATAAGTCCCAGCATCAAGCCGTTATTACCTGAAGGCGCCGCTTTGCATTCTCCCACCCACGCTCTTCTCCTGGCATCAAAATCCAACTATCAAAATCTTCTCGAGGGCAACCAATTACCAGGCGTGAATTACCCAGAGTCCTTGTCCACGGGCCTCACGTCGAAGAGGACATCTCATAAAGTAGCTGAACAAGGCAGGAGAAACCGTATTAATGAGGCACTCAAGGAGATGCAGTCACTGCTTCCCAAGGGCAAAGAAAATAACACGAGAGACGGCAGTCCTGAGGTCAACGCAGAAGACTCCAAAGAATCGAAGGAGGATGCTCTTGCAAAGAGCAATAGCAGCAAGGCGGCTACGGTGGAATCTGCGAACGAGTACATCCGCAAATTGCAAAGGGAAAATGCAGCTTTACTGATCCTCAAGAAGGAAAACGAAGAGATGAAAAAGAGACTGCAGGCAGCACAAAACGGATCAGGATCTGGCAGCGAGAACTCTGACGACAAGTCTCCTGGCGAAAGCGTAGAGGCTACATCTTGAGCCCCTGCATCAGCACAGGAATAGCACACTGCAGGGTGTCGTGAGAGCAATCTAAACTGGGGAGGCGAATGTTGTTTATCTGGCCGAATATCAGCGAATGGCGTTTTGGGGGTATCAGAGGTCGTGTTGATCGACCGATAGAGGAGCGGCTATTTGTACATTCAGCGGTTCGTGCATTGATATCACGGGGCTCTGGCGAACGCCGTATTGATATACACGGCAAAGGGTATGTATTTGGCGGTGGATCAGCTAGCTCTAGCGGCACCTTGTCTCGTCAAGCTGGCGAGATCAACACGTGTGTAATAAGTGATGTGCCCAAAGGCCTCCCTGGGATAAATCAGTACACAAACCACCTGTCCATGCTGTGAAGCCCTGCAAATGTCCAGAGCGGGCCATACAGCGATTGGACTCACCAAAACTGTGCGAGACGATCGTGTGAGATCATGATCAGCTGGCTGGGAATGTAATGATCTGATGACAGTCAGCAACTGAGCTCCTGAACTAACCGGGCAGACTGACCCTCTCGAAATCCTCGGCTTGCTACATGGCCTGCGGCACGAACCACACGAGCGCCTCTGAAGGTGTTTTCGTCTGCAACCCTCAGAAAGCCGCCGTGTCCGATGTCAGGCGCGATGAAGCTATACTGCGAGCGCGGCACGTTCGGATCTCCTGTCAATTTGATCGCTTCGAGACGTCCGGATGGTACATCGTCATAATCTTGTGACCGCACGTACGGGAATGCGTTGGATACTGTGTCGGTACTCTGGAAAGTATCAGTTTCAGCATCGCGGACTTCGACCTCGGGATCTGGCTGCTCGTTGGCATGAGCGTGCAGTCCATCGTCTTCATCTCCGTCTTCTTCTTCCTCTTCTTCTTCTTCGTCGTCGTCGAAAACGGTGGCAGCTGCTGCGAGATTGAGAGGTCCACCACGAAACCATTCCCGCATCCAATCCATCCCACTTGGTAATGGTCTAGCGTGTTCTTCATCGGGCTGAGTGACGAGGAGAAACTCGCAACCGTGTGTACTGTAATCACCGACAAAGATCCCCTGCCAAGGCTTATCCGATGTTGGGATGTAGCATTCCGGCACCAGCGAACTGTAAGTGGTGATGTCTTTTGGTCCTGGACCAAACTCCATATTGTCTTGATAGAGATGTTCGATAAATGGCATACCAATCCCTAGTGCCGCCGCAATTCTACTTGCGGCGCCGAACGAATGTGAAGTGCGACCGTGATATTCTGCCCATTTTTTCAGCCTGAAGTTGTTCTGACTCACTTCAGAAAAGGTTCCTGGTGCGTGGCCTGCAGATTTGAACCCATCACTACTTGCATTGCGGGCACGGCTGGCAGCAGGGATTCTCAAGGGTGGCCAGACAGCTGTTGTGTCTGAGATAGCTCCAGCTGGAAGTGCGCGACACAGCGTCAACGCACTATGCAGTCCCGATTGTGCAAAGGTTTCCATAGTAGTTTCCTTGCCATAATCTACTCGACCGCAGCCGACTAGACTACCATTGACTGAGCCTTCTTCTCTGGTACTGGCAATGTCCAGCTTGAGTACCGGCTGATTCATATCCAGGCATACAACTGGGTTAAAGCTATGAATGAGGACGTCTCTATCCATTTCCCAGAAGCTCACCTGATCCATGGACCTAGCTACAACCGCGACGACCTGGTGAGCAACGATCGAACCCAAGGAAGAATCATAGCGGGCGAGGATCAGCTTGCCAGTCGGTTCTGTATCTCCAAACCAGATCCGATTTGTGGCCAGGAACCAGTAGGGGAACAGCGAGACATACAGGTCTCGGAAGGATCGCATTGGGGTTGGCTCAGGAACAGTTTCGGCGGCAGCTTCGTTGACTATGGGATTCCATAATATGTCGTCGTAACTTGTGATGGCCAACCTGCGGCACGTTTGCGCTGCCTGCGCCAGCTCGAGGGGTGTCAAGAAACTGAGGATATGCAACAGGAGTTCATCGGGTAAGGTCGCAAGGGAATTGGTCTCTGTACGCTGATCGATCGAATCGTCCAGCGACGAGTCGGTCATGGCCATTGTGGTGGTGGCTGGCAAGTTGACAACACGTAGCGCGTACACACAACAGCGTGACGGCAGTGAAAGGAATGGCGAGTCGTGGCAGCGTGTGATGTGGTACTGTTGTATATGGCGGAAGGCGTGGGCAAATGTACGCTATGGACGGCAGTGACGCTTCGACTCGGACCGGCGAATCAGGCAGAAAGCAGAAAGGCAGAAAGGCATCGGATGGCCCATCTGTCACTCAATGGTTATTCGCTGAACGATGTGAGTGTCGAGCGATGCTTCACTGGAAGCAGCGGTAGGGTATGCCGCCTGTCGTCCGCTGTCCCCGCTGATGGCACACGCATGCATCGGTTTGCCGCCGGCGTCAGTTGGGAGAAACGTGAAGGCTTGGCGCTCCTGAGTCCCTGGTAGAAGTTGTGTTGCTGGCACTTGGCTGTTCCGCTATTGAACCTCACATCTGGCCAGCCGAACCACAACGTCGATTCACACTGCCGCCCACGACAACGAACACGTGAACGAGAACGCGCGCATGATACACCTCCGCTGCGCAGCTTCACAGTGTAGACTGGGGTCCTTGCGACCGCCGCGATGAGCTCACGTAGGCACAGGACCCACCACCACTTTCTCCAACCGTACGGCAGCCGCTGATTACTCTGCGCACAGTCAAGCAATTCATCCGCAATGTGCGAGCTGCCAAGACGATTGCCGACGAGCGAGCTGTAGTACAAAAAGAGAGCGCTGCCATCAGAGCCAGCTTTCGAGAAGAGAGTCATGATCCAGACCGACGGTAGGGGGAGCACAACATATTGCCAAAGCATTGGGGCTGCAATGCGAACAGAGTCTGATATAGTTGCAGGCGGAACAATGTGGCCAAGCTGCTCTATCTTTTCACATTGGGTGAGCGAACCCACTTCGGTCAAATCGAATGTCTCAAGCTTCTAGCCTCCCCGCGCTTCGCGGACAAGCGACTCGGCTACTTGGGTACGATGCTGCTGTTGGATGAGAATCAAGAGGTTTTGACGTTGGTCACGAACTCGTTGAAGAAGTATGTTCAAGGTGCGCAGGATACAAACGCTATACACCGCTGACAGGACTCAGTGATCTCAATCACAACAACCAATACATCGTCGGGCTGGCACTCTGCACGTTGGGCAACATCGCGTCGATTGAGATGTCTCGAGATTTGTTCCCAGAGGTAGAAACAATCCTTTCATCGTCGAATCCTTACATTCGGCGAAAAGCAGCCCTGTGTGCCATGCGGATATGTCGAAAAGTACCGGATCTGCAGGAACATTTCCTCGACAAGGCCAAAGTCTTGCTCAATGACCGAAATCACGGCGTTCTCTTGAGTGGTCTGACACTTGTTATCAGTCTCTGCGAGGCGGACGAGGAAGAGGGCGGCGAGCAGGGCGTTGTGGATCTCTTCAGACCGCTTACCGGCAGTCTAGTCAAGGTTCTCAAAGCCCTGTCGCAGTCCGGCTATGCACCCGAGCACGACGTGACTGGAATTACGGACCCTTTCCTCCAAGTCAAGATCCTACGACTGCTTCGTGTGCTCGGAAGAGGCGATCAGCAGACAAGCGAGCAGATCAACGACATACTTGCGCAAGTCGCAACAAACACCGAGGCGTCGAAGAACGTCGGTAACTCAATACTGTACGAGGCTGTGCTGACTATCCTGGATATCGAGGCCGATTCTGGACTTCGAGTGCTGGGTGTCAACATTTTGGGCAAGTTTTTGACGAACAGAGATAATAACATACGTTATGTCGCCCTCAACACCCTCATCAAGGTTGTTGCCATCGAGCCGAACGCAGTGCAGCGCCACCGTAACACAGTACTTGACTGTCTGCGAGATCCTGACATCAGCATACGAAGACGAGCCCTGGATCTCAGCTTTACTCTCATCAACGAGTCTAATGTCCGAGTCCTCGTTCGCGAGTTGCTCGCATTTCTGGAGGTAGCTGATAATGAGTTCAAACCCATTATGACCTCACAAATCGGCATCGCTGCAGATCGGTTCGCCCCCAACAAGCGCTGGCACGTGGACACCATGCTTAGGGTCCTGAAGCTGGCTGGCAACTACATCAAAGAACAAATTCTGGCTTCGTTTGTTCGACTGATCGCAACTACTCCAGAACTGCAGACGTATTGCGCACAGAAGTTGTACACGGCGCTCAAGGACGACATTAGTCAAGAAGGCCTCAACCTCGCTGGAGCCTGGGTCATAGGCGAATATGGTGATGCGCTGCTCCGCGGCGGGTCTTATGAGGAAGAAGAACTGGTGAAAGAGGTGAAAGAGAACGAAATCGTGGATCTCTTCTCTACGATATTGAACTCCAGCTATTCAGGCCAAATTGTCACACAGTACATCATCACCGCTGCGATCAAACTCACGACACGACTTCAAGATCCATCACAGGTCGACCGATTACGCCGATTGCTACTTAGTCGCCAAGCGGACCTTGACGTCGAAGTGCAACAACGAGCCGTGGAGTACGGGAACCTCTTCGGCTACGATCAGGTGCGAACAGGCGTTCTCGAACGCATGCCAGCGCCAGAGATCAGGGAGGAGCAACGCGTGCTCGGCGAGGCGACGAAGAAGCGGCACAGTAAGCTTCCAGCCAAGAAGAAGCCTAGTCAGATTACGGAGCAGGACATGCTGCTCGACCTCATGGGAGGCGACTCTACCTTGCCGTCTGGCGAAACAGGTTCATCGGTCAATGGGGTGCAGGCCAACAACGCAGACCTACTCGCTGACATCCTGGGCGGTGGTGACGCAAGCGCATCCACAGCAGCACATGCTCCATCTTCTGTGGCTAATGGTCAACCCAAGACACAAAGTAACATGGATTCCATCATGGACCTCTTTGGCTCACAACCGGCGGCATCTTCAGGCTCTGGCATGCCAGGCAGTTCCATGGGTGGATCGGGCAATGGCGCAGCGGCGCCATCACAACAAGCCCTTGCAGTCTACAACAAGAACGACCTGAACTTGAGTTTCAGTGTACAGCGCACAGCCCAGGCGGTGCAAGTGCTGGCCAGATTCCGGAACAACAACAGCTTTGAGAGCGTTAGCGCTTTGAATCTGCAAGCGGCTGTTCCTAAGACCCAGAAGCTTCAACTGCAAGCAATTAGCTCCTCCGAGATTGAGGGCGGCCAAGAAGCGACGCAGCAAATGCGCATTACAAGCGTGCAGGGAGTAAGTGATGCACCCAAGGTTCAACTTTTGTTCATTTGAAGCTGACTAGTCCACAGGCCCCTCCCGCGAAGCTACGACTGCGATTGAAGTTGACCTATTCTCAAGGTGGTGCAGCACCCATCACGGAGCAAGTAGATTGGTCAGAACCAGTGTAGGACAGCCCGCTGTGTGACCTCATACAACAACCTCAAATTCAGCATGTCGGCAAATTTGCACGTAGCTTCTCATCCGTGCAGTGTAGCAAAACTCGGCGTAAAAGTCGGTATCGATGCTCGGTATACTGCAACGAGCGCTGGGCCTCGTTCCGGCGGCCTACTCAATGCTGCGGGTCAACGGGCTCCTGCTACAATTCTCATGCTGCACTCTTGTCCCTCGTTTTGCCTCCCCACGCTGCCGGTGCTTCCTTCACAATCTCGCCATCTGCAACCAAAACTCCCGCACCTGTCCTGTCCTCCACTCTCTTGAAGACCTCAACCGGCACCAGACCATTTGCATTTCCCTCACTCAGTATGACCCCATTATCACTCAGCCAGAATTTGATGCCCGACTGCATCGCCTTTTGCAGATCCAGATATATCAAAATCGTACTCGAGTTCCTCATTCCTGAAATCACAGGCGCAGCTGCATCCTCAGCATTCGGCACGTCGACGACTGATTTGAAGCCTGCTGGAATTCCCGAAGCAAAATGTACGTGATTGCGAGTCATCGGTTTGAGGCCTCCTGATGCGAGGATCTTGATGTAGGCGGAATGTGTTGTGCCGTGAATTGCCTGTGAGGGCATGTTCTCTTCGGTGATGGGTTTCAGGAGCCCTTCGCTTTCCACTTTCAAGCTGTGTCCTTGATTCGCGCGGATGAGGTATTGGCTCGGGTCGTCGGGAGAAAGAGGTGATGACTGAGTACCTTCCGCGGCGTCTATCTTTGTTTTTGAGTCGTCCGAAATGGGCACCATGGTGAACCTTTGCTTGTCGTTGTCGGCTACGCAGGCTTTGAGTTCGTCGAATGTGACTTTGAGAGATTTGAGGTTGCGATTGTTGAGGACGTCTTGGACGTTGATGAATCCGCCTGAGTCGAGTTTGAGACCTTCTTTCTCTGCGCCGTGGCGGAGGAGCCAGGACATCTTTTTCGAGACTTGTACGTTGCGTGGCATAGGACCGCCTCGTCCGCCGCCACGACCACTGCGTTTTCCACCTCGTTCAGACATGGCTCGATATTTTGCAGTGTGTGCTTCTTGTGGTTGCGTGGCCCTGTGAAGGAGGGGCAGCTTCAATCGTGGAAAGGTACGTGCCAGTTTTGTTGCAGAAGGAGCACTTTGCTTAGTTAAGAAAAGAAGCAACGAGGGTGATGGGCACAGACGGTACATGAAGTGAATTCAAATGTCACCGCTTTGCCTGATTGGGGCAACGGAGCTGGCCTTGGCACCATGGAAAAAGCTGAAGTTTGAGCGTAGACTCATCCCATCAATATCGTCTTATCAAGAACACGCTTCTGCAAGAATTCATATAATAACACATCTACGGCCGTGAAGCATCAATCTGACTGAAGTAAAATCACATCATTCAAACAGCAGATCACTTTTGACCCGCGGCCTCGTTCTCATTCTTGTTCCCGCCGAACAGGCCACCCACATAGCCTCCCGCACTCTTGACATAAGAGCCGGCACCTTGCGCGCCATTCGAGACACTCTGACCTGCAGCCTTCGCATTGTTCACAACCGGATCGGTCACGCTGGAAGCGGCACCGCCATAGCTGCCATCATTGCCTTTTCCGCCTCTCTCTGCTCGATTCACGCCTTCCTTGCTCACAGCATCTCCCACTGGCTGGAGCAGTCCACCTTGCCCGACTTGACCGGAAACGAGGTTGTTGACACCGTCCTGCGAAAGTCATGTCAGCATCGCATTACTTCTACTCAATCTGACTCAATCTGACTGCGCTTGGAACTCACCTGCAAGGTGTCAACCTGGTCGATACCAGTGACCTTCGTCTTGCCGAGCGTATCTAACACTATCAGTCTCTGACTCCCCTCACCATCCAGCAGCCTGACCCACCTTTGGTAGCATAACTAGCCTTGTTATCATTGGTGAACCATCGCAGATACATATCTTCGATCCAAGGCATCCAGTTCTCCTTCTGGTGCTGGTACCCTTCCTTGATCCATTCCGTGTAAGTCTTATTGTGCTTCTTATCCTCCGGCAGAGCATCATACGTCTGTTTCTTCTGCTCCTCGGACATCTGAGACCACTGATCTGTGCCGTTGTTGGAGGCAGACTGAGCAGTATTTTGAACTGATTGTCCGGCGGATTGAGCGCCAGACTGAGCCTGCTGGCCAACGTTCTTTAATGCATCTGCCATCTTGGTGGGATTCGTCGTAGATTCTTCGTAAATTAGGTCAAGTGCTGCGGCTGGTGTCAGTTTCTGATTTCCATATCCAGCACTTCTGTGATACTGACAAGATGTTGTCACTCAGCTGATATGTCTGTTTCTACTGTCGCCTCTGTGTCGATTCTGTTCACGAACATTTATAGTGTCTCGCCCCATCGCGCCAGAACAAGTTATCGAGTTGACGCCGAGTTGGCATCAGTACGTGTTGGCGACCACGCGCGACATGCACGTACGTCACTTGGTGAAGACGTGTATGCGAACCTGGTCACATCCCTGTCGGATCTGCATCCTTGCCAGGTTTCGGATTCGGCGACGGAGGCATGTGGCTGTGCATGGTTGGAAAGACAGCAAGAACTGATGCAAGCACATGCGATGACGTTGACAGAACCGCGTGTAATGTGTAAAGCACTTTCCATTGCAACCATCTCGTACAACAAGCTCTCTCGCTCTCCCGGTCGTGAAGTAAACGTACAAAAAAAGCCCAAAACTCGGCTGTCTGATCAGAATCGATCAGAGTCTGCACTGAACAGTGCAGTTATGCTAACAAACAAGCAATCAAACAAACAGAACGCCCTTTCAGCGTTTTCGTACAAACCAGTCGTAATGCGCGCAGCAAAAGCTGCGATTGGTATCTTGCACAAAGTTCCACCCAAAACAAACGCGCGCTTTCGTTTCCATCGTGATGCGAACAAGCCTTCGTTTGGCACGCGCCAGTCAATGCCGGTCAATGCCTTTCAAACGCCTCGTTTCCCATCGTTATGCTATGCTCGTAACGCGTCCAGTCAAAAAACGCTTCCAAAAGCTGAAAAAGGATAAATGCACACTCATTGCGAAGCAACTCTGAGTGCCGCCTGCTGTTTAATCATGCTCGCTTGTAAAATAGCATCGAGAGAAACCTACTCCATCAGATGCTTCGACCGAATGATGCTTGATGTGCGGCTGGGCACTTTATTATATGTCTGTCCAGAAGAGAATATGCGGGCTCGAGGTTGAGGTACAGGACTGGAGGCGTCCTCTTCGAGGACGGGTGACGTGTCGTACTTGCGTCTACTTGCCAGGCTGTCTCTGAGAGAAGGCATCTGTCTTTGAGCCCCTGGAGAACGATCCTGGCTGGCAAGTCGAGTGTTGGCGCGGAAAGAAGAGGAGAAGTCGGTCATGGCGCGCGATGGTGCACGCAGTGTGCGTTCTTCATGAGTGGTATCGTGGTTCTGTTGCATCCGGCTGCGGAGCGCCCTGCTTGGCACTGCGCTGATGCGGTGGGGTGGCTGCAGAGTGGCAGAGTGTGTCGGAGTAGATTGGGCTTCAGACCCGGAGAGATCGCCGTGACTGCCGCGTGGACTGATGTTTGCACGAGTATCGATAGCTTGTGGACCTAGCAGGCTTGACTTGCGCTGCTCAAGACGACTCATGGGTCGACCAGGTGTCAAAGCAGCGACTGGCAAACTGCTCTTACGCACTGTCCTGCGTAGAGGAAGGTCGATGGTGGGAAGCTCAGCTTGTGCAGGAGATGCGAAGTGAGCCGGCGAGGACAGCTGAGCTGGAGAAGCTACGATGCCCGGAGATGCAACATAACCGGGAGTAGCTGGTGTAGATGGCTTGCTTTCGCGTAGCGAAATGCAGAGATCAGTCAAGTTGCGGCACAGGTTGTCCACTCTACGGCGAACCTGACGCTCATTAAGGGGTGCCTGATTAGTTTGCGGCGATGCCGAATTGGCATTCTGTCCTGCGGGCACGCCGGCTAGTGCGGCAAGGTTCAGGGCGTCGGCAACGACGACTTCCAGGTTATGGAATACAGTTGATGAGAGGCTGTCTCTCGATCTGCCTAGTGCGTCGTGCAGAAGTGGGTGGATGTTCGCCCACAAGCTTCCAACATTCTGTTCTGTAGGTAAAGCTGGTGATGCGGTCGTGGGTGCCTCTGCAGTGTCTTTGGTGGTGGACTGCTTGGGCGAAGATGTGATGGTAGTTGGTGCTGTGGTCGCCGTACGTGGACGGTCGCCAGAGTCGCCAGAGGCGGCGGCACTTGATGAAGAGGGCTTCTTGTGGTCGCACTCGAGTTTCTTGATGCGAGACTTGAGCTCATCGAGCTCGTCCCAGACCGTGTCTGCAGTCTGTGAATCAACGGAGGAGTCTGTGTGCTGTCGGTCCGAGGATTCCGTGGGAGAGTCTTGCGATTCTATAGTGGGAGCGAGAAAGAGGTGGTTGTCATGGTGTCTGGTGCCAAACGAGGCAGTTCCCGAGGATGACCTTCTGCGACCGAGCGGCTGTGGCTCAGGCGAGCGTGGTCGCTGCTGGCGCGGCGATATGGGTGAGCGGTCGGCGAAGGTGGAAAAGCGGCGCGTGCGACCGGTGGAGGTGGTGTCGTCATAATGAGATGTGCGCGTTAGCGACGCGCGACGCTGGAGGTCGGCGTGCTGGAAGAGGCCTGTTGAGGCGCGCAGAGTGTCGAGGCGTGAGGGAGGTCGTGAGACGTTGCCGCCGCTGGTGCTGGGTCGCGCTGCCTCTGCGGGCAGCGACCGGCGTTTGGAGAAGGAGGCTCGAGACATGGAGCGTCGTGAGCAGGAGCGGTCGGCAGCGTGGCTGGCGGCGGCTTGTTCGTCGGCGAGCTCCAGAAAGTAGTCGTTATCTTCGTCGCGAGCAGAATTGGGGTGTGGTTGGTAGAGGTGGGAGGAAGGCATTTCTCTGTCCCAAGGGGTGAAGGTGGGTGTTCTCGCTTCTATCCTTGTCGCGCTGCTGGGATACTGACGCCGGGTTAGCTGAGCGCGCGCGGTGTGGTGCGTGCCGGGGAGGCACCCCTGGTGCTGGTGCTGTTGCGGATTGTGATGGGTAGCCCTTTCACTTACAGCCTCTGCCGATCTGCAATGGCAATCGGTGTTGCTTTTGTTGTGGTGATGGCGGGGCGATGAAAGTGCATGTGCGTGTGTGGGAGGAGAAGAACGCGTCGCACTGCTGCCATGTGACGCAGCCAGCGGAAGCGGGATCGCGTCGACCAGAAATCGGGTGGGAATTGTTGGCACTGGTTCTGAACAATCGTAGAAATCGTGTCTCCTGCGCACGCTGCTCTCACTGCTGCGACTTCTTCGTCGTGCGGTCTTCGTTCTGGCTGCGCGCCGCTCGGGGTACTCGTCTGCGTTGCGCTCGAGTCCTGATTCGCCACAACCCGCGACGATCCCCTGCATTACGCTCGCTTGCGTTGCTAGTCTGCTCTGGTAATTTCGTCCTCCTCCTCCGTGCGCCTCGTGGATTTCCTCCTCCGTCGTCGACATCTTGGGCACAAATGCACGCAGGCGGCAGGAGGTGGGAGTGTGGACGACGCGCTCATTTTGAGCAGCGCGGTGCACTATAGCCCGCATTGGATATACGCTGCACCTCTCATCAATGCCGCTCATGATGAATGACACAGAGCCTGGCAAGTGGGCAACCTAGTTTCCACCTCCGACCATTCACTCGCAGCTATCGGCCGCCGTCCATGCCATGCCTGCTGCCACTCCATCGCGCGCCGTCTGCGAACGCTGGGCGGAGATAGCAACACGAGCTGCAGACCATGTTCACAGCTTGCGCAGAAAAGATCACCACTCGCTGTGACGCTCTACAGTACGCAGCCGTGAATGGCTAGCCCACCAGCGACATACCCAAAGGGGTGGAGCTTGTAATCATTCATCCGACCCTCGACGTTTCTGACACATGCCACACCTTGACTCGCAGTCTCGCACGCAGGGGCTGCATCAACTTTATGATACTCGGATACGCGACTGTGCGAACATAATTTCCGGCCACATTGTCTCAGCGCACGGTATGATAAATTGCCCAACACGGCTCCGCACTTGGCCAGATCCGCCTCCCAAACTCGACTGCGGCCTGAGGAGTCAAGCCCACGAATATTCTGATACCTATCCAGATCGTGTTCGCGCGAACTGCCTTGCAGATCTGGGCTTCAACAATGTGCAGCCGTTGCTGGCCCGTTGCGACATTCTCGAGTCAGTAAGTCAGTGCCGCTGTTTGGGCGCGCACGCAGCACGCAGGGCGCGGGATGATTGTAGCCGGCTTGGTTGTCCGAACCCTTTCGTGCCGTTGAAAATAGATTGTCACCAGATCTGAAACACGTCCAAACCTCACACTCGCAGCACAAACGTCGCAAGACACGAGCTGTTATTCGGAAATGTGTGTCCGAACCTATCTACCTGGCCAAGTAAAAAGCCAGATCCGCCTCAGGATCATACTCTCTCAATGTCCGACCATTGCCCATGAACCTGAAACGGTTCCGCGAACGATATCTGATCTCGAAATCCTCAGGTCTGAGCGTCGAGATCATGTCATGGTAGCTCAACACCGAACCGGGCCAAACTGCTGTCACCCGCCCGTCGACCCTGTGATTCTTGTACCACTGTTCGCGCGAAGGTCAGAGAAGGGGTCTACAAACTCTCATCACACACAAGATCTTCGTACCGATTGACATCCTCCTGACCAGACCAAAGTCTGCATAATCTCATCCCCGTACGTGTTGAATTCATCCTGCACTTCTTGTTTCACGTCGATGAATTTGATGTCCTGAGAACGGTGTCAGCATCAGCTCATCTCAGTTCGCCACGCGTTTGCACGGAATGTTTCAACGGCGAACGTTACAGGGAAGTGCATACCTCTTGCAAGATCTTGAGGACCCATTGGCACATGTAGTCTGCAGACCATCCCAGTCCGGCCATGAGAGAGCCGTGACCAACTGTGCAACATTTAGCCGGATTACCAGAATGCATTGTCTGTCTTACCAGGAGCGTTTGGTCCGGAGAATGTGAAGAAGTTGGCTGCTCACGATCAGTGTTCGTCCTCTTGCAGCAGGATGCAGTACCTACGGAAGCCGGAGGCACATAGCGACAAATATGACATAGGCTCTGTCGACCACTGCGAATAATTAGTAAAGACTCGGCAAACAGTTTAATGCCTCCCGCATGACGACTGCAACCGCTTCGAAGCAGCCACAACGCGATCTTCGGAATGGCCCATGGGTCAATTCAGACCAAGACAACGGAGCGAGCGCCAGCTGACAGCCGTTGCCAGATTCGTGTTCATTTGCGACCGCCTAGAGTGAGCTCCCGAACACTTACACAGTCTGCAAGAGATACGCCGTTACGACCAATCAATGGGAAAGGCGGTCGGTGAGAGACATCAAAACCGGTTGCACAAATAATGGCATCGACTTCGTGCGTTTGCTCCTCGTCCGTTGATGTTTTGACGACGATGCCAGCAGGTGTTATCCTCGCAATGCGGTCAGTAATTAGTGACACATTATCACGCACAAAAGACTCCAGGTATCCAGGCCCAGGAGTTGCCCTTCGGCAGCCGACCTCCTGCCCTGTGTTAGCATCGTGTTCAAGGAGAGCGTCTAGGCAACTGGAAAAAGATCTCGTAACCCACATAGTCCGGTGTTAGCTTCGCCGCCAGGCTTTCGTCGTTTCCCAGCTTCTCCTTCATCTGATCCGCAGTCGCTTTGCGTGCTGCGGTTTGAGCATCGGAGTCCTTGACGAACATATCAAAGGCTCTATTGCTGGCCGCCTGAATCTTCTTTCGATACTGTTTGAGAGCTTCTGGATTCTCGCGAAAGTTGCGTTTCTCCTCTTCGCTAAAGTAATACTGTACCTTTCCGCCGATGGCTCCCGAGCCCAGTCCAGGTGTGATGTATGTTGGATGTCGAATGTAATTGGTTAGATGTTCTGCCTTTTCAACCAGTTGCGGGATGATCTGAATTGCTGAACTGCCATTTCCTATGACTCCGATGCGTTTTCCGGTAGGATCGAATTTGGTATTCCAATCTGCAGAGTGCATCATTTCTCCTTGGAAATCTTTCAAATCGGGAATGCTGGGCCAGCGCCATTTGGACAGAAAGCCCACTGCAGATATCAGAACGTCACAAGTATCTTCGATAGTACCATTTTTCGTGTCGAGCTGCAGGTTCCACTGGCCAGACTCCTCCGAGAATTCAGCGTTTGATCTGTTTGTGCTTAACGAGCTGTATCTGGCGAGGAAGTAGCGGAGAAGCCCTGGCAGAGTTTACTCACACGCGGTGGCCGACTTTGACGTCTCGTGCAAGGTCCCACTTTGCCACGGTTGCCTTGAAGTACTCCAAAATCTCCTCGCCGGATGCATAGAAGGCACTCCAGTTCGGATTCGGCTCGAATGGGAATGTATAGATACTTGATGGAACATCACAAGCACTGTTCAACGTATCGATCAATTTCTGTTCGCAAGTCGTTGAGGAACCACTCACACGCCAGGGTATACGTTGACGAGCCATCTGGAGTAGTTGTTAGAATTTTCTTGTGCCTGTGACAGATTCCCACTTGGATTCCGGAGCCAAATCTTCCCAAGAATGCACAAAATATCAACCTGCCGACGATCGCATGTACTCACGTCCCACCAATATCATCGTTAGCCTCGTACAGAACAAGTTCGACGTTCTCCCCTAAAGTTTCTTTCCATTCGTGATATATCTTGTAAGCAAAGTTCATTGCAGAAATACCGGCACCTATGCAAGCAATTCGCAACTTGCGAGTCGGCGTTCTCGAAGGCTTCTTGTACAGTGGAATATGGTTGTCCGGAAGCGGTTCGCCATACCGCATGGGAGGGTCGGGCACCTCTCCATTTGCTGAATCGTTCAAACTCGTTGCTGCCACTGTGGGATCTTTACTCAACATGTCCTCCATCGTCTGAGGCATACTGTCGTATGCGCCGGCCATGGCCAAATCCTAGAATGTTCAAGAGTTCAACAATATCTGCTCACCAGTCTCGTCGAAGTGAGCACTCCTTCACTGACGACGACATTCGCCTCAAATACATGCGCCCCCCAAACCATCTTGCAGGCTAAGCGGTAGCCGACATAGAGTGAGGGGCATGCCATCACGCCTTGCTCAACAGCAGCAAGCTTCGCAAAGCACCTGCTCGTTCTGAGTACTATCATCCTCAGCCACGTTGAGCAAACATGTTCTTTGACCGAAGAAGTGCAGCTGAACCAACGAAGCCTTGACCACGCGATGTCGAAGGCATCGACAACGGTCGGAAAGATGCTGGTCGCGCCTGCGGCTTACGAAGCCCAATCAAGTTAGGTCCAAACAAACCATCAAATGAGCCAGAGTTTACCCCAGTATCGATATCCGTCCCACCACCAGTCCACCACCAACAATGTCTGAAGTGGAGAAACGTCGGGCATCCGCCGAGTTCGACATTTCAAGCAAAAAGAAGCGCAACGACGACCAAGAGGAGGACCTGGCAGAGGAGATGTCGTTGGTGAAGGAAAATGTCGACGCACAAATCAACCACGAGGCCGCTCTGAAATACTGGGCAGAACAGCCCGCCAACGACACTGGAGTCCTCGGTGGCTATCCCGAAGTCAGTCGCGTAGACTTGCAAGGCAGCGCGAACTTCCTTGCCAAACTCCGCCGCTCATCGAAGCAATACCCTCCGTCAAGCGGAAAGCTACCTCGCGTCGTCGATACGGGAGCAGGAATTGGGCGGGTCACGAAGGGGTTCTTGAGCAATGTGGCACAAACCGTTGATATCGTTGAGCCGGTGGAGGTACTGTCTCGGCAGATCAAAGATGAACCTTGCGTGGGCACAATATACAATGTCGGACTCGAGGATTGGACACCGGAGGTCAAATACGATCTGATATGGAATCAGTGGTGCGTGGGACAAATTCGCGATGCACAGCTTGTTGCATATCTCAAGCGAGTCACACCATTCTTGAATCCTGGAGGCTGGATCATCGTCAAAGAGAACCTCAGCAACCATCATCTTGGGGAGGATGTGTTTGATGAGACCGACAGCTCCGTTACCAGGACCGATGCACACTTCAGGCAGATTTGGGAAGAAGCTGGCTTGAAGCTTGTGAGTACGGAGCTCCAGAAAGGCTTCCCAAAGGTGTTGTATCCAGTGCGAGCCTATGCATTACAACCGAAGTAGGCTTCCTCTACGCGACAGATTGAAACGACGGCCGAAGAGCAAGTCGGAATAGTGTGATAACTGTCCAGGACCAGAAGATGCAGCTACGCGTCTGTCGGTTTGCTCTTGTCTGCGTGACAACGATTCCCCTGAAGGTAGAGAATTGCAGCGCCTATCTGCAATTAACGAACTTCCACAATCCTCGGGTTCCATCAAACAGCCGAGCAATCGAGCAGAAAAGATGCAGTACTAGCTGTGGTCGCAAGGTGACATCGCGCACAATTTCCAAACTCGCGCTGAGGTCGGGTTACAGATGGACAAAGGGCGGCCAAGGAGACGTGCTCGCTGAATACGAAGGCTCTGTGTCCAGCTCGACAGTCATGCGGTCCAAGCTCAAGAAGAGCGAAATTGCCTGTTTGGTGGTCTGAGACAGCGGCGAACATCAGCCCAGCTTAGGGAGAATAGTCGACTCTTGCAGATAGCTAAGAACGATCGGAGGAAGCACTCGTTGTCACGCCAGCGGCCATGAAGCTCGTTACGAAGCCACAGATGAAATATTGGGCCAATCTCATGAGCCCGTCTCACTAAGCGCGCAGAGCAGCAGTTGTATCAGTATGGAATTGATGATCGCTGCTGACGCTCACATTCAACGCTGTCTTCGTCGAGGCAATGAACTGCAAACCTGGTGATACATTTACTTTCTGAACTCTTTTCCGTCTATTTTGCTATACACATGGGACTGGACTGAATATGCTACAAGCTGATCAGAGCTCAGCTATAAACCAGGTAAACCCTAGGCAGGCATTACTGGACGAGGAGGCTTTGTAATCTGCTTTCCGCGGCAATGACCTGAATTCGCTGTTAGCATAGCTGCTCTGCCATGGGAAAGAAGTAAATGGTGTGTACTCACATCAATAGCTTGCTGGACCTCAAGCACCCTCCTACACTCACCCACCCAATCTCTGCTCAGTACGCCGGCCCATCCCTTGAGTCCGTTCATTTCACGTGCTGCGGCATCCAAATTGCCCTCTTCCAAGAGAACTTCTGTCCGTGCCAGCGTCGCCTCAACATCGTCACCCTCTGGCAGTCCTCGGTCTGCTTTCTTTTGGAACATGAGCTTGCTCAGTACAGCTGAAGCCGCGTGACTAGCTACGCCCGCATCCTCGGGCAGCAGGCTTGCCTTGCGGACTTCCGATGCCACGCGTCGGAAACGATCGATCAGGTGGGCCGACGATGGGATACCGCGTTGATAAGCCGCAGGGTTGATGGAAGCGATAGCAGCATTGACAACATCGTTGTTCTTGCTGACTTCTTTCAGGGCCACAAGCTCGTTGATGAAAGGCGTAGGGGTATCGGACTCTTGAAGCTTGGCTCGTACAGCCTCAAGAGCGACTTGCAGATGTTGTGTCTGGAGAGTGGCGTCCACGACCTCATTCCACTCAGAATTGAGTTTCTCGAGTTCTGCAACGCTGCTAGAAAGCTCATCCAGTTTCGATAGCCTGCCATTGCGTTCTTCTTCAACCTTCGCCCGAACGGTCTCCATGAACTTCTTTTGCAGGGCAATCTCCTGCTCAATGAGTTCATTCTGTTTCTTTTGCTCGTAGACTTTTCGCGCGGCATCAAGCTCAGCGGAAAGCTTCTGCTGATAGCTTGTGCTGAGCTTTTCACGCTCCTGCTCGTACTCTTCCCGCCAGCGAGTTTCCTGCTCACGCATCTCACCTTCTAGACGGCGCACGAGCTCTTTGGCGGCCTGGTCGAATTCAAGGTGTGCATTTTTGATCTCGGTCTCGGCATCGTGGGATGCTTTTTCTTTCGCGAGCTTGATCTCACCAATGACTTTATTCAGGTTGTTCTTGGCCTCTGCCAGTACGGAGCCGTATTTTGATGCATCCGAGGTGTTGTTTATCGCCGTAATGATACCATTAACCAGCTTGATGGCTTCCTGGACTGCCGGCTCGGAAGCTTCAGGAGCATTCAGGTGGTCAATCGCAGGTACTGCAACACTCGGTGCCGGCTTCTCTGCAGGCTTCGCCTTTGTCGATTTGTTGTCCTCCTTGGGCAGAGACTTGGTCGATACATCCGGAACCTCAGGCTTTGTAGGCTCTTTGGCTGTTTCCTTTTTCGATGCTGGCTTGGCATTGTTGTCTTCGAGGGCACTTGTATGTCGGCCTCGCGACCCCAGATCACTCCCACTGCTTTCTGTTTCTGCAACACGCGGGCTAATGCCACTTTGTCGGCCAATTGTCACTTTGTTCTCGCCGCGAGTCTGAGGCCAGCTGCGCGACGAAGCTGATCCAGAGCTAGGGAAGCGTTTGCGAAATTCGCGTTCTTCAAAGTATGCCACAGCATCTTCTCCCAACGGGACATACTCGACGAAGAAGTCATGGAAATTGTCATTCATGAGCGAGTAGTAGACGCCGGCCCCGTAGCCGAGAGCAGAGAGAACGAGCAGCGTAAGGAGGAATCGTCTGAAGCGGCCCTTCTTCTTGGGAGGTGGTGGAGGTGCCG